CCTCCCTCCCTCCCTCGCTCCCTCCGTGCCTCTCTCCCGGCGGCTCCCGGCGTGCGAGGATGGAGCTGTTCCAAGCCAAGGACCACTACATCCTGCAGAGCGGGGAGCGGGCGCTGTGGTGCAGCCGGAGGGACGGCAGCCTGCAGCTGAGAGCCGGTGAGACCCCCGCGGCCGCGCCCGCTGCCTGCGCGGGGAAGGGCGGGCTGCGACCCACCCGAGCGCTGAGGGCGGGCGGGGGGCGGTGTTGGCGGGGCCGGGCGCGGTGTCCGCGGCGGTACCGCGGGGGTTCGGTGCCGCTGCCCATCGCCCCTCAGCTCGCAGGACCGGCCCCGACACCCCCGGGCTGCGGGAGGTCACGCGTGTCCCGGTGTCCCGGCTCTTTTCCCTCTCGGTGCGTTTGTTTCCCCGCAAACCCCGGTACCGCGGGGGTTCCGTGCCCGCTGTGACCCGAATAGGTGCCGGTGTCGAAAGGCATCTGGTCATCCCCGGGGAGCATCGCCGGGTGCCGGGGGGCTGCTGCCAGCCTTACATAAGGGATGCTCCCGGTGGAGGGACATTGCGTCTTTGGGCAGATGTGTCCCGTGGTCGCCTCTTCCAGGAGAAATTGAATAGGTGGCTGCGCTGGGTAGGGACGTGGTGATCTTTGAGGTCCATTCCAACCCTTTGACGTTCTGTGATTCTGTGGCTTCTCTAAAGTGCTTCTAAATTTTTTAGTGATTACAGGCTGTGTAAGTGACACTTACACTGAGCTTCCCCGTGTGTTAATGTAAGACTGAAGGGAAGGCAGTGYGAGCAAAAACTGAGATGGACTTGTGTAAAAGGGAATTTTGAAACAATGGTARTTGTCCTATCCTACCTAGGAGGTTACTCAGTCAAGGTGTCTGAAATAAAATGCCACCCGTGGAAATTACCTTGTGTAATGTGGGCTCCCTGCCCATGGCACAGGGTCGGAACAAGATGATCTTTAAGGTCCCTTCCAACCCAAACCATTCTGTGASTTTTCATYRTTCTCTGTGATTCTGATATGTAGCTTTGATYTAGAGGATCCTGCTGACCCTGCTTGTATGCTAAGGAAACTCTAAATAGCTGGGTGTTTCACCCAAKATGTGGCAGGCTGCACAGATGTTAGTTACACCTTTTTAAAACTGTTATCTGTGTTGTGCCAAAAAGGTGGCTAAGTGTGTATATGGACACATTGGCTGAGTGTACAGTAGGCTTTATTAGCTTCTGTAAAAGGCTAGYGAAACTTCAAACATAAACATCAAATACCGTTGTTATCTCTGTTTTTCCAAAGAACTTTTTTTTTTGTGCTGTGCTTTTTTGTGTTACATTTTYATCCTTGTGTCTTCTCAGTGCAGTTTGTTTGCATCTTGTAGATAAAATTGCAATCTGTCTCAAGTTAGCGTGGCTAATTCTTGTCCATCAGCTTCACTAATCCAGAAATACTTTGATTTGCAAGTGATCTTCAAAAATAATTGATGTTAAGCTAGCAAACAATACTGCTGGTCAGTGAAACACATGCTTTCATGAGGGAAAACCCTTTCATCAGGTTCAGGGTTGTGATGGTTACAGCCTTCTGCATGGGCATAAAAACTCTTGCTTGACTCACAGTAATTAAAGCACAAAACAGTGAACTATAGGTTTGGAGATTGGTGTTTGATAACTTTAACTTTTAAAAGCATCAGTCCCTTGCTTTCATGCAGCCATTGCTGTGTTTTATTTTCTCTTGCTGACCCTTAACTTCCTGGAGGCTTTGYCRGTGCCCAGCAGTTTGTCTGCCTGAWGTTCCAGCAGCATTTTGTCCTTAGCCTGCCTCTGCATTTTCAGCCAGTTTACATGTGATCCCTATTGTGTGTGACCTGCAGATTAGTGAAAGGTAACGTGATATTGGAGTCCCTTGGTCTGCTTGAAACTCTCAATTGTTAGCAATGCTTTCCCATTTCCATGTGCTCGCAGCTTTGTTTTTCCAGCCCTGTCTGTGGATCATCCTCTTGACCATGGACTCCAGGGCTGTGAAATGACATACCTTARTATGTTAAAAGTAAGCCCAAGAAAGAAACAGTTCTCTTACAGGAAGTGTTTCATGGATCAATAGCTCTTTCTTGTATTAAGACAAAATTACATCTCCTCAAGTTTACAATTTTATTACATTTGACCGTTTATTATTGAGGCCACTGTCCGGAAATGAGTAAATGGATTTCTGTGTGATGAGTCACTGCCATGTTAAAAAAAATAAACAAAGTCATAACTTGTGTTCATTGACATGTTTAATAATCTGTCAAAGGGCTGTGATCTAACTATGTGTCTCTGCTTGGTTTTGGAGGCCTTGGTTTTATTCTGTCTCMCAGGGGCTGCTCTGAATTAATCTTTGGACATTCACGGGTTGAAATAGATAATACTGGTAAAACCTTACAAATCATTGATATAGTAGGTCTGAATCTGAAGAGCTGGTGCTGAGCTTGAAAGTACTCTCCTCCCTCAACTAGAAAGGCATGTTCAGAAATTTGCTCATGTTGAAAGCTGTATTTCTGACCTCTTTGAATCATGGAGATAACAGCTTGAATTAAAAAAAGGCAAATAATCTTGGTAAATATTTGCCATAAGCAAAGTCTGAGGTTGGCCCTCTATTGAAGGATGTCAGCCTGTGTTTACAAGATGTTTCTGGGATTTTTTTTTAATTCTCTAAAGTGAAAGCACTAATGAGTCAGCTGCAGGAACCCATGAATCACTTTCATATAATAGATTTTTATTTTTTTTTTAAGAATTTGGCTGTCTAGGGTGTATTTTTTACAGTGTAGTGAAAAAACATGTGCTGTTCAGCCATGCCTTAAATGCCTTACATCAGGTCTTGGTCAGGATTTCACTCTTGGATTACTCTGCTTATGCCCTGTGTGTCTCCTCCTGACTGGTAGTTCTACACAGATTACAAACATTGTTTTATTGATGATGCTTGCATAAATTATGCATTTATATTTTCATATGTGTATATATATATATATATATATATATATATATATATATATATGTATAGAATAAAAAGTATTGAGGACACTGAGTTCTTCTCACTGTTTTTTTAGCAACAGAAAAAGTCTCACCAAAAGAGACTGTTGTGGTGTGAAAGCTTCTATTATCATTGTGCTGGCCTTGATCCTTGATAATACTCCAGGCAGTAATGTCAAATAAGAYTGGGAACAGTTGCTACTGAACTATTTCTTGTAGTTATGCTCATTCCCACCACCCTGGAGAAAAAAAATCTTCCAGATATTTTGGGGGATACACAGATTGGAATCAGTCTAACACAGTTTTTGGGGGTGTCGTGCTCAAAGACAGTGTTGCCTCTGTCATTAAGAGTAGGATGGATTTTACCTCTGGAAGTGTGTCTGGAGGCAAATGAGCATTTGTTTGTTTAAAAAAAAAAAAAAAAAACACTTCAGGAATTTATTGTTACAGTATTGATTTTCACCTGTTGAAAATATTTGTGAATCAGCCACTGAAGCAATGCGCTTTAAATAGTTTTAGTGAGGGACACTTTACCAAACAGTATTTTCAGAGTAGCAGGGGACAGATTTCAGGTTAGGTGTCTGYGAAATCTTCTCTGAATCACAAATCRTGAGGCCATCTAATAGTCTGGCTGTGTTGCCTTACTCCTCAAAGGCATCTCAGGAGTCATGCAGAAATTACTTGTCAGAATTCCTGAGCTGTTGTTCATGGCTGTGGACTGGAGAAGAGGAGGAGTAATTTCTTTGTGGGAAGTCTGTAAGTGCTCCAGTGAAGGCCTTGGGCTAATGGATGGTGTAAGGAGTGATGCCACTGCCACCAGAACAATTATTGCTGAGTTTAAGTCTGCAGAGTAGTCCTRGACATGGCTCTGGGGGGTGACAGCCTGAGTGTTAAGTCCTGCTAGTGAATTATTTCATAAAAAAYTGCCTTCCTGAATTTCAGTTGTACATCTTGGAAACTGCCTATCTATTCTGGGAAATGAATTCCACAGGAGGCTGTAGCTTTAGAAGAATGCTCTCCATATTTCAAGTTACTTCCTTAGGAACCTCAAGCTGTTTTTTGACACCTTTTTAGCTGCAATGGGTACTGCACTGTTTCTCACCCTTGCTTGCTCATTCTGTTCTCTCTTCTCCCTACTCTTCCGTGGTTGTCAGCACCACGTACTTGTGGCGTATGTGACAAACCAGATGTCAGAACTGATCTGCATTAGCTGCAACCCAGYGAGAATGTAGGCTGAAAAAACCTTCAGCATTTGGGTCCCTGTTGCTGCTTTTTCCTTCTTGTAAAAAAGAGCAGAGGGGGCCAGGGGAAGAGGGCTGGACTGCTCCATATCCTTTGATTAAATATTACATACATTAGTCACTGTTGTGGCTTCTGACTGGGAGACAAGCTCTTCGTATATATTTGAGATAAATGATTTTCTACTTTTAATAAGTGAGATCTACTTCTTAATTCCATCCATGATTCTTTTTATAGAGCATAGTAAACCTAAAACTGGGACTTAAGTGGGTTGATAGTGTGTTACAGTCTAGCCTGGTGAGAATTAAATAAACCTTGAGGTGAGGTGTTTCTTTACTTTCCTGTTGAGTCTTAGCAGATGATGAGTTGAATATAGCAAGGGTGTTCCTGTCTCTTTTTTCCCCTCTTTTCCTTCTGTGAGGAGTTCTGAAAATGCCAAACTTCTACCCAGCTCAGATGAATAGATGTCTTGGAATTCCTGCCTGTGCTGAAATGACCTGAGGTTTTCAATAGGTGGAAAACTTCTAATGCTTGATATCTTGATATTCTGGTGTTGCTGGTTCTTTTTTTTTTTTTTTTTTTTTTTTTTTTTTCCTTTTCCACTTAGAATAAAAAATGAACCTAATACAAGTGGATTTCTGTTGCTTGTATTTTCTGGTAGAGGTGACTCATCTTTGATCTCATGGGTTAGTATTAACTCAATATTGAAGAGGAAATTGCAGACTAACTGCAACTAAAATATTTAGAACAGAAGACACTGACTTCAATTAYGAAAGGTCTGGATCTGTATCTGTACCAAAGGCTTGTCGTTTTTTCATCTGAGAATWCTGTTCTTGTTAGGTTCTTTCACAGTTTATTGGTGTGGGTGATATTTCGGCTCTATGTGTAAGGAAACATTAAAACTTCTGTCATTTTAA